GCATGTATCCAAAACAAGAGGTTTTTTGTATTTTAGTAGCCTTTCTAAACTACAGTTGGCCCAAACTCATTCTCATCGATTTCGAAATGAAACAGTTTGCAACCATCGCCAGTGGTGTTGTACCAATTTGTTCATACTGTATATAACTGGCATATACGTGCTTTAAATCGATAACTAGGTCTTGGTATTTTCTTGTTTTCTGCACATTTTCATCCAAAGAAACAACGCCGTCACTAATTTCTGCTGTTTTGTTATTGTGGTCAACGGCACGATTACTGACTAAGGGGTAGTCGAGGTTGAGTTAGTACATATACAATCCTCAAACATGCTCATCGACTGATATCGATAATACGGCTGAGGTTTCTGTGGTTAGGCATCTTTCAAGTGCAAATTGTTGTATGACCTTTGTGACTTTATTGTACCGTTTGAGGTACTCGGTCTGTGTTAGCCAAAACGGAACAACCTGCAACAATATGTTAGGTCGATTCAGTTGTAATCCAGCAGATCCTGCATTATCCAACATGTATTCCTTAATTATGTAGCACGCACAGTTCTTCGTTGGCATGCTTCATCGGGTATTTTCGTTGCAGATCCGTCCATTTTCGGCAGCGTCCGCTTTGACAGTCCACAACGCGGCTTCTCCTGATTGATTCCTCAGACTTAATGACAGAATATTAACGACCATCAAGAACCTCCTTACTTCATTCACCAGGTTTCAACATTATACTTGTCTTCTCCAGCACATGATCGCATCACGCAGCTTTAACGGCGTGTTTCTTTTGTCCGTTTCTGCTGATGATGTTCCGACTAAAAGACTTTTTCAGATATGAACCGCATAACAACCACAGTACCTTCGCTGTGGTACCTGATTTTTCTCGGTGTCTAGTAACGTAGACACAAACAGTTCCCATATCGTGTATCCCTCATACATGGCTGCGAGTTTGTTTTCAAACTCGATTGTCTTGAACCGATTGGCACTGTAATGCATCAAGCAGACTGTGTATATTCTTCCATATCTGCGATATTCCTGATGCCCAACGCTGATACCGTAACCCATAAGGAAAAGAGACTCAGACTCGGTACCTTGTGTGTAGGCAACCCTGTAATTTGGTCATTGCCGGGCATCCGTTGCGTACAACGCGACCTGGATTTCGCCAAACGGCTCATAATTGCAATTAAGATAGTGATAGTAATGCGGCTGCACTGCCGTATTTGACGAATCTTAAGCACGGCTGGCAAATTTAATAATTGGCGCAAAGAAGTACGGTTTAGTGCAAAGCAAGATTTTTAATTTCAAAAAACGGTAAAGCACTTAAAGCTTCATTATTCTTAGAGCAAAACACTGGATGCATATAAAAATATTTGAAAGGAACATTTGACGACATTGTCGTTAATGGAAAGGAATCAATCATACACGGTTCTGGCTCATTTCCTGGCGCGATGATGGTTCTGCTTAATTTAGACGTGATCGAATTGTCGTAAACTTTTAACGGTTGCAGTTCAGCTGGCTACTTAGCGATCGTTTAGCACACATTGACAGCATTTGAATACAATTGCCTGCCGCAAATCACCAATTCTGTACAGAAACAAAATGCGACGTTGTTAGTCGCCTGACGGAGCAACATCCAGTATGACGTATCAGCAACGATTTCCTTCACCAGATGTCTTTTACATGGAACGTATGCAGTCGAAAGAGACAGAGCCATAAAAGACATCGTTTGATGTTCAGTCTAGGAAAATCTTACAGTACATTGTACTCAAGACGGTCCGAGCTTGGTCCGAAACTTCAGATGGCCATAATTAAAAAATATTTTGTGCGTTGTTTCTTCTCGTTTGTGACTCATCAGATGTAATCATCAATATCATGTCATCTCCCGCATTAAATAATCATGTTCCTTATTCGATATATGTGTATATATTCGTACTTTCCTTGCTCTGTACTGAAAAACAAGACACTTTAGTGATACTATTCAAGTAGTAGACTTTCATTTATACGCTATAAAGGGGTAATTGCAAGAAGTAAGCACTTAGCGATTTTTCAGCTACTCTAGTCAATATATCCCCTTGTAATAAGCACATCCGCGTTAACGACATCTGGAGAAAAAGCAATTTTCGGCTACCGCTACTTCTTTTTTCGATTGTTTTCAGATTCACAACAAAATTTTGCAACATCTATGTTCCCTACTTTTTTGTTGTCCT